CTATTCTGGGTCCCTTGAATTTCCATATGAATTTTAGGATCAAGTCGGTTTTTGTAAAGAAGTCATCTGGGTTTTTAATAGGAATTGTGTTGAATTCATAAATCAATTTGGGGAATATTGCCATCTTAATGTTGTCTTCCAGTTTATAAACATGAGATGTCTTTCCATTTATTTAGGTCATCTTAAATCTCTTTCAACAATATTTTATAGTTTTTAAAGTATAAGTTTTGTGTTTTTTCTGTTAAGTTTATTCCTAAGTATATTATTACATTCAATGCTATTATAAATAGATTTGTTTTCTAAATTTCATTTTTAGTTTGCTCATTGCAAGTGTATAGAAAAGCAATTGATATTTGTATATTGATATTGTGTCCTGCAACTTTGCTAACCTTTGTTTATTAATTGTATTAGTTTTTTAGTGGATCCATTAGAATTTTCTATATATAAGATTGTGCCATCTGCAAATAGAAATAGTTTTCTTTCTTCTCTTCCAAACTGGATACCTTTTATTTCCTTTCTTTGTTTAATTCCTCTACCTAGAACCTCTAATACAATGTTAAATATAAGTTATGGGAGCAGATATCCTTGTCTTCTTTCTGATCTTAGGGAGAAAGAATTTAATCTTTCATGATTATATATGATGTTAACTGTGGATTTTACATAGGTGCTCTTTATCAGGTTCAGAAATGAACTGAGGATATCAATGTTAAATGCAAGATATACCAAATATTTTTAGGATGTGATATGATTAATTTTTCATTAACAACCATTGTTTGATGTTGTTTAGTTTTTCTGGGCCATTCCATTGGTTTTTTAACAGTGTATTTGTGTCACGCAATAGGTAACCTTAACCTTTCCACTTGTAAAAGAAATGAATATAATCCCTTCTTAGTTAGGAAATTATATGATCAGAAGGAAATGAGCCTTCCTTTCATGAATGGAAGTCAATATTTATTCAAAAAGTGCTTGCAAGCTAGAGAGAAGGCTGAAAGAAAATACTTCAAAACAATTTTTTTTCTTTCACTGATCTTGCTATTCGTGAGCTATTGAGGAAAAAGAAAAGTTAGAAATTTTCTTATTCTAATAAATTTGCTAGTTAGTTCTCTTGTAACACACATCAAGTCTTAGTTGTTTCAATCCCTTGTGACACATTTAGACAAATTGCAACTCTTGAAGCAGTGGTGGTGATTTTGCACATTCCAAAATTTTGTAAGTTGACGCAGTGATTCTACAGGAAGCTTCTAAATGCTTCTTTAAAGGGTGCTGAGTCTAAAACCTCAAATTTTTATGATTATGATGTTGAGACCCATAAGTTCCTTTATTACATTAGTAAAAAACTTTAGATAATGGAATTTATCTGACTTCCCACTGACTTCATCCTATGAAGAAGGTGGGTCAAAGAAAGGGAGACAAATGATAGAACATCATGACTTTTAAAAATTCACTAGGGGCTGGGCACAGTGGCTCACGCCTGCAATTCTAGCGGTCTAGGAGGCCAAGGCGGGAGGATCGCTAAAGGTCAGGAGTTTGAGACCAGCCTGAGCAAGAGCAAGACCCCGTCTCCACTAAAAAGTAAAAAGAAATTAATTGGCCAACTAAAAATATATAGAAAAAATTAGCCGGGCATGGTGGCGCATGCCTGTAGTCCCAGTTACTTGGGAGGCTGAGGCAAAAGGATTGCTTGAGGCCAGGAGTTTGAGGTTGCTGTGAGCTTGGTTGATGCCACGCCACTCTAGCCCAGGCAACAAGAGTGAGACTCTGTCTCAAAAAAAGAAAAGAAAGAAAGAAAAGAAAAGAAAAATAAGTCTAGGAAAACCAATGAAAATCTCATACTAAACTTGGGCAGGAATGAGACAAGATTGATAAGAGAAGAGAAGCAGGGGCTGTTTTGATCACTTGAATTGCTATTTTCAGTCTGTTGCCAATGAAATTTGTTTTGTCTTCTCTTTCTCTCAAAGAATATATAGTTAGATATTTTCCTCCAGGGCCATATCTTGAGATTTTTCCTGGCATCATAATTTTCTACTAGAATACTTCCTGGTGTTCTCTTTATCATAGATACATAACATACTCATAGAGTTCCTGTCCCCAATTTCCCATTCTAAAACATTATACTTTCCCCTTTCCCCTAGTAAGTCTCGGAATGCAATTTTCTGGTTTTCCCTAACCTATGTCCTCCCACCATTAATGATCAGTAATTCAGGAGGGTCTTAGCTTCCTTCCTGGGGACAAATTAAAAATCAAACTATCATTTCTTTGGAAAACTAGATCTTCTTTCAGCTAGTTCACAATAAAGCAAATGTTCTAAACAAAGAGGAAGGGGAGGGATTGGGAGAGGGAAGGAACAAGAAAGAAGAGGAAGTAGGAGGAAGAAACCTCATGATAAGGATCATTGAGCTTGAAGATCATTGAGCTTGAAGACCACTGAAGGATCATTGAGCTTGAACTTTTGTTATTATGTAATAGTTCAACCCCAGGGTATCCCATGCCCATACACTGCCTCAACCTATTTGCTGCCACCTTTGTTGGAACCTTTCTGACCAACGCATTGAGACCACAAAGAAAAGCAGATTTTCTAACCAATGCAGAGGGGAAACACATCAACACTGAAAGTTAAGGCAAAGACCCTCAATGAAGATTCACTCACTTTCATGTTTCTTTAAGATATTCAATATCATGCAAACACTCTTAACAAGGAAGAGCATAATTCCTGATTATACCTGGATACATGCTTTCAAAATTTTCCAGAGTATCCATCTTTTATGAAATCCCTTACCTGAGGACAGGACTTAGGAACTCTGTTTATCTTTTTCTGACAGAGATGGGGAAATGTATATCTCTGCAAAGGGCAGACTAATTCAGCCTCCTGCTTCCTCTACCAATTCCTGGCTGACCTGAAAACTTCATGTTGCTCTAGCCCCTAGGTCTCTGGTTCCTTTTGTCTGGAGTGACATTTACTTGGTTGGCCTGCCAATAGGCACTACTGTCAGGCCCTGAGGGGCTTTATGATTGCTGATATGAACTGCTCATGGCTTCCCAGCTAGGGCCTTCAGGAAAGTTGTACTTCATAATCAATCTTTTGTTAAACTCTGGCTGGTTTCCCAGGATACCCAGCCACTCTTGTTTAGTCTTAAGGGCTTCAGAAGCCCAAATGTTCCTGCTGAATGTCCCAAATCAGGGATGTAATAACAGAAAAAGCATATAAATTCCCACAATTGCTGAGACAGACTTGTACATAACAAGGCATCCAAATCACAACTTGAATAAATATACTAACAGAGTGAGTGTACCTTGGGACAGAAAAGACTTATTAGAGAATCATATCCAGATGTTACTTGAAAGACTTCCCATCCTTACTGATTCAAACAGAACAAAATTTTTTTAATTCATCTCTTTATTGCATACTGCTATTTTTTTAAAAATGTACAGTCTCATAACACATACAACATCCTTTTTCTTGGTACTATCTAACAACAGTCTTGCACCTAAAGACTAAGTGGTTCCAACTACTAAACTAATAAGATACAAGACATGTAATTAAGTTTACAAATTATGCTTTTTCTTTTTGGCATTAATTAAAAAAAAACAAACAAAAAACTTTAAAATACACACCCAAGAGAGAAAAGTGGCTACTTACACCAGCACCAACCTAAAAGGGTTTTTTTGTTTGTTTTTTTCTTCTCAACAATGGCACATGGAATTACCTGCACACAGTTTTTAGGGAAAGGAACCAAACGTGGACATGGCAAGGGAGGCCTACCAGGATGGCCATATCAAAAAGAGGATGATTTAAGAAGGGCAAGAGGGACATGCTACACAAACTTGCTCCTGTATGTGACTCTTCCTCCCCATGTCTATTCCTTAAACTGTAAGACAAAGCCATTTTCAAAATACAGTTTCAAAATTGAGCCAGACCAAATTTCTCCTGCTTTAAATAGAAAAGAATATACATAGAGGCACTTTAGTTAAGGAATAGACAAAACCATCATTATATCCAACTCCTCATCTCTAAGCCTTTTTGAGCCGAGTCTCCATCTGCACATTTAACGTGGTGTACGTGCAGAGCTCGGTTAACTAGGGGGTGGGGGAGCATGACCTCTTCTTTGTATTCATGACCATTTTATTTGCTAGGAGATGTTTATGTCCATATAATGTGTAGAAAGTCACTATATTTGCAATGAGAAACAAAATGTAAAACCACAGCTCTTGACAACTCTTAGAGCACTATTTCACAGCTTTCACTTAGCACAGATACCTTGCCATCTGCACTAAGCATTATAGTTTATACAAATTATTTTTAAATAGCGTGATTCCTGTACAGTGCGCACATTGGTATTCTATTCATCCCTTAATATCTCCATTACAGCATAAGCTCTGTGGGGGCAGAGACTCTGTCTTGCTTACCATTGTAGCCCTACTATACCTGGTACACAGTAGGTGCTTAATAAATATTTGTTAATTGAAAAACTCAATTTAGTGAGTAAATAATCTAGTGCAACAGGACAAACTACTCTCTCTACAGGAAACCCAACCACAACAGGATCAATGGAAAGAAAAGAATAAACATTAGGCCCCCCTCCCCAACTACAAATAAATAAAGCAAAGCAAAAAAAAAAAAGTAACAGTCCTCTTTATATATCATATAATTTAAGGATATTAAGAGTTGGTAGGTTAACGGTAAGCATCTATATTTTATTTTCTAAATGTTCATTGTTTTTATTTGTTTCTCCCTGAGAGCTTTATTTTTTGGACTGAAGTTTTACAGGTAGCTTTACTGACATACAATTTTAAATGGCAACATATAAACAAACCACTTCAAATATACTTAGAGATAAATAGGTCTGGGCATATCTGCTGACGCTGTTGACATTTTGTGCATTCTCTAAGTGTCATTTATTCCAGACCTATATTTACAGAAGATGCAGCTTGTTCTACAAAACAGAAAATAGAAAATACAACAACAAAAAGGCACCCCATTAAAAATTTTTTTAAAGAATCTTTATCCCTTCAGAGAATTCTACCTTTAAGTCTTGGGTAGGATATTTTATTTTACAGGTTTATATATATCTATATTGTTAGAACAAGAAGCACATTCTGGTAATCTTTTTCTTTGACAAGAGTGTGGATTGCATGAAGATAGTGTTCTTTTCAAAAGCAATTTAAAGAAGTCATCAAGAGTACTTGGCAGAGAACTTGATGAAATTGGGGGGAAAAATTGATGTCCAAGTTTTAAATATACAGAAAAATTCTGATTGACATTCTACATGATTCACATTGTGTGCAAGATGTTCTTAATAAATATTTACAGACTGTATCCCCACACCAATGTCAGAAATTCTAAGCTGGTCCTACTTATTACTGATGCGATGCACCAGCATCACATTGTCAACTATCAAAAACCATTTTACATCTACATTTGTCCAACTCCAGTTCCACCAATGAAAATAATTTCAGAGTATACCAAGCTTGGAAACCATAAAATATTCTGCAAGCCTTTTCTTTTTTTAATATACTCTAGGGAATGTCTCTGTCATCTCTTTCAGGAGATAATATTGTGCTTCTGAATAGTCACGGTGTTCAGGGAGAGAAAATGAGCCACACTCAATGTGAATGCATACACGAAGGGTTTCTGAGCACATACATTAACAAAATTTTTTAGCTATACATATAGGTCTCCAGACAACACTCAGACTTCTATATGCACTTTTTAATACATATATATATACACATGCATACATTTACATACACACATTCACTCACAGATGAGGGAAGAAATTGCCACCGTTTGGATTGCAAGGCAGTGTAATAAAAAGTTCTAGTCACTTCAAAGGGCTACTAATGCGCTTTCTAGAAAAGTATTCATGGAAAACTAGAAATTAAGTTTTGTGACTGGTCTCTCTCGGCTGCTGTCCGTCATCTGGTTGGTAATGCATTTGCGATTCTGTTTCAATTTGGAAAGGTCTTTGTCAAACACTTCTCCTGAGCGTAATGCTGAAATGAGGTCATCGAACTCTCTGCTTTCTTCGCTGTTCTCTTTTGCTTTTCTCATTTTACGTTCCCTTTCACGTTGCTCTTTGAGCTGAGCTTCCATGCGAGCTCGACGCTCTTCTTCTTCCTTCTTCCTTCTCATGCTTTCATTCTCTTGTTTGGCTTCTGACACAGCTTGAAGAAACTGATTAAAAATGCCAAAGAACTCATCTGGCTGTATTTTGCCAGCTTCTTCCCCAGAATGCTTCACTGCTTTAGTAAACAGGTCTTTGGCTTCTGCTAGAAGATCTTCAACATCAGAGAAGCTGAAGCTGGCTACTGTGATGAACTTGCTGACAACGAACACAAACTTATCTCCGGGCTGTGGGGGCTGAGACTTCTGATATTCCAGCTCTGTCTCTACTGCTTTCAAGTCACTTCTCAAGGTACTTATTTCTTTGTCCAGCTCAGTCATGTTTATTTTTGCGGCTTGAGGAATATCCTACAATTCTTCATTCAGATTAAGAACATTGGGGCATTTATTTTCCACAATAGTTATGAGATAGTGCAAAAGGGTAATGTTCTTGTCAATACTGGATTTTGTGTCAGCCATCTTATTTAGACTGGAGATCTTGAATCCATATGCATTTCCTCTTTGGCCTTTATTCATATAATTTCCAAATGCCAAAACCACCTCTAGCAACTACTTGAGGGAACTGCTCCTAAACACCTCTTCTGAGCGAGAACGAATTGCTTCCACTTTAGGTTTCACTTCTGCCACGCGCTCTGCAAACTTCTTTTTGAAGTATAGCGATTGCAATCTTTACTGATAATGATTAATTCGGCTCATCTCAAAAAGAAATCTATCAGACTTGGCCATCAGATCCAGCTCGTGTTTATGTTCTTCCAACAGGTCAATGTCACTTTTTTCAGGAACAAATTTCAAAACCTGTTCCAACATGTCCTTGGGCAGATCTTCTTGTTCATCCATTGTTAGAATTGCTCGTTTGATTTCATCATTGGATAATTTCAACCTTGAGAGAAGGATGTTGCAATTCTGAGCTCTCCAACCACCAATCACCGAAAGCTCTTTGACTTTAAGTTTGCAACTCAGTGTGTCATCAATGGCATCTGCTTCTTTCTGCTGTCTTTGGTAGGCAGAGAAAGTCCTTTCCAGGTCTTCAAGATCTAGAATTTTGAAGACTTTTGAATCATCAATTTGGTCCACACTGTTCCTTCCAGTTTGTTCTCAGGCAGCTTAGACCATTTGAAGGATTTCAGGGCATTTGTGGGTTGAGGAATGTTCTTCTTCTTGAGTGCCAGACTCACTGGAGCACCAGGAGGTGGCATAAGTCCCCCTAAGGGAGGAGGCCCTGGGGGAGGAGGAGGGCCCCCCGGGGGCAGGGAAGGTGGAGGAGAAGGGAGCATTCCACCTTGGAGAGGTGGGGGCGGTGGGGGAAGAAGAAGAGACCCAGGCGCAGAGGAAGGAAAGGGTTCCCCTGGGGCTCCAGGCGAAGGTCCACCTGGGATTGAAGCACAGACGCCCCTCCTGCTGAGCTCCTGGAGCTGCGCCATGAGGTCTGCCACCTGCTGCTTGACTTGCTTGTGCTCTGTGGTCTCCTTTTCAAGTTTCTCTTTCATTTTATTTGAGGTCTGCATCATCTCTTCTTTCTCTTGGGCCTTGGCATCACATTCTCGTTCTTTCTTTTCCAATTTCTGTTGTAGCTCATTGTGCTCTTTTCTCATTTTTTCTGCTTGTTCTTTCCACTGCTTAACTTCATTTTCATTAACCAACATTCGTACAACATTCTTAATATTAAAGTTCTCCAAAGGTGTGGAGTCAGGATCTTGCCCTTTGTCATTTTGGATAACTATTTGCTGTATGATTGATTCTATCTAGTAGTAGCCAGTACTGAACAGTGTTGTCACTCCTCTTGTAAGGCATCTGGATGCAGTGGTGCAGGATGGACATGAAGTGAGGGTATGCTTTGCTGTGCGTCAGCCGCTTCCTCATCAACTCAAACATCTGAGTTGCACTTTTGGTGTCTATGTGAACCAGTTCAAATCTTTTGGCAAATTCTAGTTCATCTCCATTTCGGAGCATTTCAAAAAAGTCTAAATGCCTATCTAATGTTGAATTTTCATGTTCCCTTAATTTATCTATCACAGGTTGAATTCCTAACATCAGAAATTCATAGCGAAGATGAAGTCTGAAGTCCAAACTCTCCATGCCTGCACCTCGGCTTAGCACTGCGCTGATGAAGGGCATGATGGCCGTCTTCAGGCTCACTTCATCTCGATACCGCCCTGTGCTTTTATCCAAGTCATTAATTAATGTCTGGTAACAGGTTCTTTCACTGGTGTACTTCTGGTAGTGCAGCATGGCCTCCAGAACCTTCTTGTGGCCCCCAGGAACCAGGCACACGGTGCCCAAGATTTCCACCACGGCCAACTTTGTCTTAATGTTCTCTGTGCTCAGACTCTGAGCAATTACATTAATACTCTCAGAATGAGCCAGGACATGAGCCCGACCTTGAGAGTTGTTCATTAGCGCCTTTATACATCCAATGAGAAAGCTATGTATTCGAGACTCTGAGGTCTCGTAGTCCATGGTCTTTAGAAAGTTGAGAATACATGACAGGCCATCCAAGTTGATGAATCTGGTTACAAACCTCATTGGTTTTGTCCTTAGTGCTGTCTTCAAACTCTCTGTAGTTTTACTTCTCTCTTCTTCTTCTTCCTTCTCTAAAGCCAGCAGAGATTTTCTAACAGCCGTGGAATTGAGCTGATCGATGTAGAATTCAGGCCAACTTGTAGCTCCCTTGTTTTCTTCCTGGTCCTTTTTCTTGCTACAATATATTTGCCATTTTTTTTCTCAGCTGGAAGTGCAAACATAGCTTCCCTGTGTTTATCTGTGAGGTCAAGTTCATCCACCAGTTCATGGAACATGACGTCTAGCTCCTCCACAGGGGGCATGGGCAATGCTGGTTCCATGGTCTGAAGCACAAAGTTGCTATCGTTTCACAGCTGATACGTGATTTCTGGGTGATCATTATTTTGGAAACAGCAGAAGATGAACGAAATACCCTGTCCACCTCTCTTCCTTGGGGCCATGGCTGAATCTGTTCTATTTCCTGATATGACTAAACTCTGAGCAGCCCCAGCATCCAGAACAAAATTTAAAATTGCTTTTTAGTGTCATGCTAATTGTTTGCTGCCCCTTCACCTCCCTCACAATGACCCACCCCCATTTGCTTTATAGAAATTACCCCCAAGTGTATAGATCATTTGGTCAACTGGGGTCAAGGAAGACTAGCTCTAAAACAGGACCCTCTGAATATGCCACATTACTGGGCCAAAGAAAAATCCCATTGATTCTATCCAGTGTAGTTTCTCTGATGACTCAAAAGGTATGAACTCTGAAAAAAGCTTTCTCTACATTCAGGACAATTTATAGGATCTCTCTCCTTGATAGATTTTCAGGTGACAAATCTGATTAGAAGTAAGAGAAACTGTCTCCACACTTGTGACAGATATAGAGCTTCTTTCCTATATGAATTCTCTGAAGTTTAAATTAGAGCTGGCTGAGGAATTATCCCCACAAAGGGGAAAACTGTATGGTTTCTTTCCTGTGTGGGTTTTCTGACAACTGGTCAAGTGCATACCCTGCCAGAAGCTTTCCCCATAAGCAAACATTCAGAGTTTTTTTCTTTACCTTGTGAAACAAAAAAAGGGGTAAAAATCTCTCTTACTCATGAGTTCCTCACAAATTTTAAGGTGTCAACTATGAAAGAAACTTTCCCCACCACCAGGCCACTTATGGGGTCTCTCGTGTGTTTCTCTGGTGCCTAAGTAGGGCAGACCTGTAAGTAATAATCTCCTCACACTCAGGGAACTTGTGCCTTTTACCTGTGTGTGTTCTGTGCTGCCCATGGCACTTGAAGTTGCAAGAGAAGTTTTCCACACATCTGTTACACTGATGGGACTTCTTGATCATGTATTAATAGGTGCACTGACAGTGAGTCATTTGGGTATTTTGAGTGAAGTATTTTCAACATTTGAGGCATTTATAGGCCTCTTCTCCCAGGTGTTCTCTGTTATAGAAAATGTAAGTTCCCACTGAAGACTTCATGATACTATACACACACACACACACACACACACACACACACACACACACAGTCTTTCCATTGTATTTTCTCACCAAATTAGGCTCAAGTTGTAAGAGAAAATTTTGCCACACAAGGAATATAAATGGAATTTCTTTAGCTCCAGTTCCTTTGGTCTCCTCAGTTTTCCATGGCTTATGGCCCTTGCTAAATACTATTCTATTTGATTCTCTTAGGGTACTTGCCAATGCCCTTGTGACTTGTCATGCAGTTTTGCCTGCCTGAGACTCCAGGGACCCTGCCCTAGACTCCAGGGACCCTGCCCTCTGGCCTAGCCAGGAAACTTTTCTTGAGGGTGGTGGTTCTCAGGGAGAAAAGACCAAGGAGTGTTCTACCATTTCTCTAGTCTCCATTCCCTGGTATAGTGAGAGAAAGCAAATCCTTGTAGGTGAGTGGAGATCACCCTCAATCCATGGACATTTGTACATAGATCAGAAGCTTGAGTTAAAACAGGTTGTTCTCTAGGCATAATATCTCAGGCATCTAACAGTGGGAAAATTTCCTCCATTTCAAAGACCATTTCTGGAGATCTGGAAACACAGCCAAGTAATTATGTGCCCACAGGGGAGATCAGATCCAACACCAAAATGCCTTCTCAAATCACTGATACTGTCAATCATTTTGCCAGTGGAGCTTTCCCATGCACAAGAAACCCTCCCAGTTTCCTGTGAGCTTGAATGAGCTGGGACAGCAGAGAGCAGTTTTCCACAGCAGAACATGTAGGGTTGGATACAATGCTAGACGCCTTTTCAAGAGCTTGCAAGAAGGCAAGGTTGGAGGTGGGAGCAAGGTTGACACTCCAAGAATAAAGGTAATTGGGAAATAGGTCCAGGACTATGGGTGGAACAGACCCCCTGAGGTGTGGGGGCATTATGAAGGGTGAACAGTTCTCCAGAGAGGGAAGAACATTCTTCAAGAAACTCGAGCAGTCTTCTTCATCTTGTCAAGACTCTGTAGCCCAAACCACCAGGAACACACCTGTGGTTAAACAAGCTGAACTTGTTGAGTTGAATTTATTACTTGATGAATTTATTACTCAATGAAGAAAAGGAGACTGCACACACCATGAGGGAAACATGGGGCCCCTAAGGAAGAGAGTGTCAGGAAAGACTCATAGGATTTGGGCTTGAGCTGGGTGATTCGGGGGAGGGTTTAATGAAGCAGGGCTTGGCTCTGGATGGATGCCATCAGGAAGTGGAGGTCATTTTATGATGACATATGTTAGTAAATTTTATCGAGGAGGAGTGAAGAGAGTGAAGACTTAGAGTTTAAAGCTGTATTTCATACAGAGGAATAGTAACTCACATTAGCTAGGATGGCAGATGTTTGGTGACTTTTGTGGCTTGGGCAATGTTCTTGCTTTGTCTGTGTTCAGACCTGATTGTGGAGTGATCTTCTTGTTGGTTATTTGTGTGTGTGTTGTATAAACATCTTATTTTAGAGTAGATTTAAGTTTAGAGAAAAGTTGTAAAGAAAGTCCAGAGAGGTCCCTAATATATCACAGCCAGTTTCCCCCTATTCATGATGCATTAGTATGGTACATTTATCACAATTAATGAACCAATATTGATTAATACATTATTATTACCTGAAGTCCATCCTTTATTCAGATTTCCTTCTTTATTACCTAATGTCTTTGTTCTGTACCAGGATCACGTCCAGGATGTCACATTATATTTCATAGACATGTCCTCTTGGCTGTGATAGTTTCTCAAACTTACCTCGTTTCTGAGGACCCTTGAAAGTTTTGGGGAGTGCTGGTCAGGTATTTTGTAGAATGTCCCTCCATTGGCATTTGCTGGTTGATTTTCTCATGATCAGAATGGGGTTATAGGGTTCTGAGAGGACGATCAACAAAGTAAGTTGCCATTCTCATCTCACTGCATCAAGGAAGCATATGATCAACAGGAGGTCACAGTTCATCTTAACCTTGATCACCTGGCTCCGGTAGTGTTTATCACACTTCTCAACTGTAAAGTTGCTCTTTTCCCCCTACTCTTTGGAAGGAGGTTACCATGCACAGCACACACTTAAGGAGGGGACAGTTACTGTCTACCTTCCTTAGGGTAGAATATCTCCCAAAATTTTGAATTATTCTACACAGTTGATTTGTCTCTTCTCTCTATTTATTTGTATATCTGATCATTTTTTATGTATAAGTATGGACTCATGGATATTTATTTTGTTAGTTTGGGTTACAATCCAATACTACTTCATTCATTCTGTTGCTCAAATTATTTCAGCTTTAGCCATTGGGAGCTCCTTCAGTGTGTTCCTGTGCCCTTTGGCATACTCCCATCATTTTGTGTGTATGTTTGGGGCGGGGGTGTTTACTGGCACTACAAGGTGCTCTAGGCCCATCTTGTACAATCCCTGCCTCCTCCTCATAATTCGTTTTTTCTCGGAGGCCTGGTTGTTTTTTTTGTTGGATGATATTAGAAGCCAACATCGGGGCTCTAGGGCTGCTCATTGCTCCCAGAATATCATCACTTATAGGCTTTCTCAGCTGACAGAGTGAGGAATTATATCTGTGCACACGGAATCACATGTGATGGCCTGAATAGTGATCCCCCAGAGATATCTGCTTTGCAATCTCTATAACATGTGAGTCTGTTACTCTACATGGTAAAAGGGACTTTGAACATATGGTTAAGTTAAGAATATTCTCCCACTATCCCAGCGTCTGTGTGGGCCCTTCCCAAGCCAAGTGCAGCAATGCAGCCAGAGCCGCAGCTGGGATTCCAGCACCCCTCAGATGGCCGTGAGACTCGAGTCTCTAAAGAGTCAGCCACCTGTTCTCCTGATTAGCTTCTTAAAGAAATCTTTCCAGGAGCAGTGTGAGTAGGACAAGCCCTCCTTGGACTGGCAAAGCCACCTGCCAAGCACTACAGCCACCATGCCCAAGAGAAAGGCACAAAGGAGATGCTAAAGATGATAAAGCCAAGATGAGGGATGAACCACAGAGATCAGCACGGTTGTCTGCTAAACCTGCCCCTGCAAAACCAGAGCCCAGGCCTAAAAAGGCCCCTGCAAACAAGGGAGAGAAGCTGCCCAAAGGAAGAAAGGGAAAAGCAGGTGCTGGCAAGGATGGGAACAACCCTGCAAGAAACCAAGATGCCTCTACAGTCCAGTCCAAGAATGTGGAAGGCACTGGGGATGCCAAGTGAATGTA